TAGCCTGTTCCCTTTGCAAGGGACATTTCCCTTTGCTTAGTGAATGTGGTGAAAATTCACCTTGCTAGGAAACTACTAGGGAAGAAAAAAACATTTTCAAAAGATTTTTGCTTGCACATGATTGGATGATGGAAGCCAGTGGTGTTTGACTTCACTAAGCTAAGGGGAAATTCCACTGCACAGTGAACAGCCTTTTTGCCTTTAGTAAATAAACCCATTTGGTCCCGTGCATTGTGTGTTGGGCAGCAGTAATGCAGTAAATGTCATTACTACTATTGTAATGATATCCACGACAATCAAACATGATCAGCTGCATGCATTGCTTTAAGCATAACTGTACTTATTTAGAGTTTTGGGAAAAGCAACTAAATATTGCAAAAAAAGTGTAAATGTAAGCCGGTGCTGGAAGCTGCATTATTGCTGGTTAATTAGTGTCCCGCCTGTGAAATCTTTAGCCTAGCAAATCGATCAGTTATTTTTATATTTTATTTATAATACACGCTTGCAGACTACTTTACAAACAGAGCTATGCACTTGTGTTTCAAAAAATTAGCTAAATACAAGTTTCTTTAAAAAATAAATGTAAAAAATCTACCCATATGGGGTAGACTAGTCTGCAACCCAAGGCACACCCAAAAACAAATTGTTTTATCCAAGAGTAACCTATTGCTGTGTTTAAAAAATGTTAGTGCTTACAAAAGTGGTAAAAATATACATCTAAATTAACATTAGGATGGGGTAGCTTATTCTTAACGCAGGGCTGGACAAACAAAAATGACAGCCGACAACTTTTTGAAGGTTTCTCTAGTTGTCGATGGAGCTACCTGCTATAAAAAAAAACCCTGCTGGCTCCTGGATTAGACAGACTGGATTTGTCCACCCCTGTTTTAACATGTACTTTAACGTGTCTCTAAACCCAAGAACAAAAATTACAATGCAGCATATCCGTCTGGTTGTTATAACTGGATGAGATACTAAAGAATGAAATGTATCAGTTTTGTAGTGTTTGAATACGTAACATAATGGACTGGGTGTATCCCAGATATCCTCTGAAAATACCTGAACAATCTGATTGGATGCCAGCATTGTTCAGTTGTTTTGACAGCCAGTGGGGCCGACTTCCAAGATACTGAAGCTTGGCCCAGTGGGAGATTCCCCCATCCACACAGTTTAGCATAGATGGAAGAATCTGTTGCACGTTTTCCATCTGACCATAGAAAGTCTGCAGATAATCTATAGGCGTATGGCCAGCTTCAGGGTCACCACACGCACTACAATCTGATCATACATTTTCGCACAATCAATTTTAAACTCCCCAAATCTGTATAATAGGAAAACCTACCTAATCTATCCAATCAATCTGCATCCAACCAGGCAGGTCCTTGTAATACATACTTAATGGTAGATCTAAAGGTGTGTGGTGAGCTTAAAACGCAGGAATTTAGCCATATAGTTTATATTAAGAAGAACCCATTATAGGATTCACCAAACGATGGTGTTTTTGAGCACACAGAAACACAAGACTCTATAGATTCAGAAGAACGAAATGGAGTAGCAGAAGAGAAACCTACCTTGTTGCAGGCAGCCAACTGTTGTAGGCTCCTCGCTCCTACCTGACAATGTGCACTTGTGAGTTATCACTGAGGGAGCATATTATAGACCCTATTGGGGGGATTTATCAAAACTGGAGCAGACAAAATCTGGAGCAGATTTGCACTGCAACCAAACAGCTTCTCTGTCTCATTTTCAAATCTTACCTAAACAAACTGAAGAGAGATGCTGATTGGTTGCCATGAGCAACTGCTCCAGATTCTGTTTGCTCCAGTTTTGATAAATTCCCCCCTGTATGTCTGCATGCCAAGTGCATGTTATGGACAGGTGGAGGAGAGGTGATGGATCTGCTGCCTCATTACCCAGAGCTGTAGACCACCTGTATGATGTTTACAGTTGTACAATATTTAGTAACCTGACAAAACTCGTTTCTTTTTGGATAGAGTAAGGTAGGATTATAACCCATCAGCTTTTTTTTTGCTGTGTCCCATTGGGGGGGGGGAGATTTTCCTTCATATCTTCTCTGATAGCCACAAGAGGAAGTGAGAGGAAATTCCTTGTGGTCATCAGGGGTCACTAGAACTAGTGTCTGCTTTTGGAAATTTTCCATCTATTTCTGTTTTGATGACAACCCAAAAGTTTGGATTTCCATACATTCACCTGGACAAAAAGAGAGAGTGAATCTCCCTAATCAGGACAGACATCAATAAAAACCTGACAGGTGTTTTAATCCCCCTCCTCTTTATCCAAAAATAAAGGTTTTGGTTTCACTTTCAATAAAACTTTCTATTAATACTACAGGATATAAATGCAGTTAGTCTTTAATAAATAATAACCAGCATGATGTATTCATATTCTAAAGGTCGGTTGTCTTTGCTTTAACAGTTGCAACATCATTCCAATAAAAAGATGATAATATGAAAGGGGATCAGTAAGCGTTTGGACCACCAATTGAAGTGAAGACATTTTGAGAAGTTCTTCCTGTGTGGACATTGGAGTGGTGTGAAGAGAACTTTGTATGTGTTTATTTTGTGGTCTAGGTGCTAAATAAAATTTGACTTTGTTATATTTAAAAGTGTTCTTGTTTTATAATGTTTTTTTAGAGAGCAACTCTGAGACTTTGCCCCGGTTGCCGGAATGTATAGCATGTCTTTTGAAGCTTTGCACATTTTCTAACTGCCTATTTTTTGTGTTTTCAAGGTATGCAAAAAACTTGTGTCTTGCTTCAGGCGTTTGGGGGCCATTAACAATGAATGGTGCCGCAAGCACAATGTTGATGAGGCCCTATTCCCCACATTTGGTCCCAAGAGGATGTGGGGTCTTATTAGAATCGGGAAGTCCCCTTTTTAAAAAATATATATATATATCTGCACACACGCGCACACACACGCGCACACACACACTCTGTAAATGACAGCTGCTGGCTGAATGTTCACAAAGGTGCCTGTATCTGCCTGATGTTATTGAACAAATATGATCATGACCATAAAAATGAATAGTGGTTGCTAAGACATCGGTGGCCACCAGCATTTTAGCAAACCACTTTACCATAGATCAACTGAACACCTATATCATATCCATGCTGCAGATCCAGACACCGGTGGGGAGAGCTGGGAAAGAGCTGGTGAACCAGAGAAATCACATTACAAACCACTTCACCATAGATCATATGAACCCCACCCCATTTTCCACACACCTGGTATCTCAGCTATCCGTCCTGTCCCCCCTGGGCCCACTTTGCGCACCCCTCCACCCCCACGTGGTATCTCAGCATGTTCAGCAGACTAACCAAGTTGCAGGTAACGGATTCTACTGGCGTCTTCGGATCCTCCAGCAGTAGAATGGTGAACCTGTTGCTTCTGTCATCAAACTGGAAGTCCCGCCCCTTCCAGAGACAGACAAAATAAGGACAGTGGTCAGTGTCACTCTGCTGCTTATCTCTGCTCTGGTGTCACTCATCGTGTGCAGAATAAGGAGTCGTGTCCCCTGCAGGACGTCTGAACACGCAATCTGGCGGAAGGGAGACAACGGCAGAACCTCTTCATTGTGGAGGTGACTACCAGGACACGGTGATCTACAAACACACGGGCTGAGGACTGCACTACGGGGGCCCGCACCTGACACCCAGAAACCCACAGGAAGTGCAGAGTCAGAGTACTCATTGTGTACCCGGAACGAGTGCTCAGGTGCAACCACTAGCAGAGTGTTCAGGGTGGCTCCTCCGTTGCCCACATGAGCCTGGGGGTCCTCCACCATTCAAAGCAGTGTGTCCAGGGGCAGAAACCCCCTAGGATCAGCAGTGCAGACTAAGATGACCTGTAAAGAGTCAGAGCAGTGCAGCCTAGGATGACCTGTAAAGATTAGGATCAGCAGTGCAGACTAAGATGACCTGTAAAGATTAGGATGAGCAGTGCGGACTAAGATGACCTGTAAGGATTAGCATGAGCAGTGCGGACTAAGATGACCTGTAAGGATTAGCATGAGCAGTGCGGACTGAGATGACCTGTAAGGATTAGGATGAGCAGTGCGGACTAAGATGACCTGTAAGGATTAGCATGAGCAGTGCGGACTGAGATGACCTGTAAGGATTAGGATGAGCAGTGCGGACTGAGATGACCTGTAAGGATTAGGATGAGCAGTGTGGACTAGGATGACCGTTAAGGATTAGCATGAGCAGTGCGGACTAAGATGACCTGTAAGGATTAGGATGAGCAGTGCGGACTAAGATGACCTGTAAGGATTAGCATGAGCAGTGCGGACTGAGATGACCTGTAAGGATTAGGATGAGCAGTGCGGACTGAGATGACCTGTAAGGATTAGGATGAGCAGTGCGGACTGAGATGACCTGTAAGGATTAGGATGAGCAGTGTGGACTAGGATGACCGTTAAGGATTAGCATGACCAGTGCGGACTGAGATGACCTGTAAGGATTAGGATGAGCAGAGTGGACTGAGATGACCTGTAAGGATTAGGATGAGCAGAGTGGATTACAATGCACATTGGGGATAAAATTAGCAGTGTGCAGTCAGATAACATGGACAGCATTTACAAGACCAAAAAAAGACGATGAAATAAAAACATACATATATTTAGCTACCTGAAATGTCATGGACATGACAGCAATGCTGGAAAGTAACCATCATTGCTTATTGGAGTTTAATGAATAATGTGACACAACATCTATCATAGCAGCGCAGCTCAGGAATGAAGTCAGGGACGCATACGCAGTATGTCTATATAGAAAACTCATCGCAGCACATCGTACCAGCCAAAGTGGTTCTTGTCAGGCACGCAAGCGCAGTGCGGCGCTTCCTAGCGCTCCTAGGCGCACAACTATCATATCGGCCAATGACGAATCGTCCTGTGACTGCCGTAAAGCGTGCTGGTTGTTTGCGGCATTCACCATAGGAACGCTGTATGGTTTACAGATTTGTTGCTAAGCAACGTGTTGGTGTCTGCTGTGCGGAGAGACGGCCCTGTGAGTATCATGTATTTATTAATGCTGCATAATAAGGATGTGAGGTCGGTCCGGGGGGGCTGGGTGTTACTGGCAGAATTGGGGTTATTTTATAGGAACTGGGCCAATTCCATTCAGACAGTGAAGAGGAAATGTCATCATCATCAGTCAGATGAATATTGGGGGAACCAATTCAGTTGTGTTGTTTTTATAGAGGGGTCGTCAGTGTAAACACATTGAGGGAGATTTGTCAAAACTGAAGCAGACAGAATCTGGAGCAGCTGTGCATGGCAACCAATCAGCCTCCATCTTTCATTTTCAATGCTTATCTGAACAAACTTAGGAGAGAAAAACTTATTGGTTGTCATGGGCAACCGCTCCAGATTTTGTCTGCTCCAGTTCTGATAAATTCCCCTCTCAATGCCTCTAACCTGTGTAATGGGACTGAGTAAGATTCTGATCTGTGCCCTGCCTGCTTGTAATTAGGCTGCCACACATGAAGCCCATTCACACCAGTCATGTCCGTTTCGGGGCGTTAAATGCTTGCATGTTAGAGTGTTACATTATTCTAGAATCAAAGCCAAACTTTTTTTTTCTTCGTTTTAGATACCGTTAGGAAGGTTAAAACCCCTGTCAGCTGAGTGTCTATTGATAATTGGTTCACATTATGGGGTATATATGTGGTGTGTGGACACCATCACATTGTCACATCTTTTGCCCTGAGGAAGGGACCCTGCGTGGCCCCGAAACGTTGGCTATTTGACTATTGTGACACGTATGTCCAATAAAAAGGACTTATCTATTTGAAATCATTTTGAGTGCTGGTAACCTATTCTTTCTACTTTGTGCATTACACGGTGCCATCCGTGGGAGTTACTGCAAGCACCTCATCTCTACTGGCCGGGACTGCTGAAAGGTGTGCGGAGAGCACCCTCACCAATTACAACTAGAATCAAAGCCAAACTTTTTTTTTTCTTCGTTTTAGATACCGTTAGGAAGGTTAAAACCCCTGCCAGCTTTTTCTTGCTCTCTGTGTCTCATTGGGGAGATTTCCCTTCACTTCCTGTCTGATAGCCACAACAGGAAGTGAGAGGAAATCCCTCCAAAGAGTGGGAAATCCCTGATGGGTGCCAGAACTATTGTCCCCATTGGAAGATTTCCCATCTATTCCTGTTCTGGTGATTACACAAAATTTTAGATTTTTCTTCACTTTCAGCAATAACGGGTCACCAGGACAAATAGGGCGAATCTCCGTAACGGCGAACAATAAAAACCTGACAGGTGTTCTGATCCCTCTCCACTCCATCTAAAGCTAGAAAAAAGTTTAGGCTTCAGTTGCACTTTTAACACATCCTGTTCATTCGAATGGTTTGTCTAATGACCCTGATGGACCAAAAATCAATCCAGCAGCACATCGCAACGTAGCGTATGCGTCAGCACAGTGCATCACTGTACGTTGTGGTGTGCTGAAATGCAGGTGTGTCGAGAAGGTACATTAGGTTGCCATTCACTATGTATGGCGTCACAGTGTCCTGGTGTGAAGGGCCTGTGTGACAGATGATTCAAATGTGCAGAAGTTTTTTGTTGCAATATTCTGTAATGCTTTCAAAGTCCATCTCCGAGCAAACAATATAAGTACCTGTGCACTACAAGGGTTAAAGAAATGTAATAGGGCTACCCCAGCACTGCAATGGTTAAGTGCTTGTTTATGTCTAAGGGCTCAGTCACACTAGATGCAGTGCGTTCCGGCCCGATTTTGGCCGGAACGCACTGCCTCGCATTGCGGCCGGCTCACTTTTTAGTGGGGTAGGAGGGGGCGTGGCGGGCCATTCAAGTGAATGGCGGTGCGACCACGCCCTCCGGCAGCAGTGCGATCCGCCGCACGGGTTCGCAAGGCACATTGTGCCTGCGGTCCGATCCTGTGCGGTGCGATCAAAATGCTACAAGCACTACTTTCTACCACTACTTTCAATTGAATGGCCCGCCACGCCCCCTCCTACCCCACTAAAAAGTGAGCCGGCCGCAATGCGAGGCAGTGCGTTCCGGCCAAAATCGGGCCGGAACGCACTGCATCTAGTGTGACAGAGCCCTAAAGGCTGGAGTGAAGCAGATTGACTTACCTGAACCACATATCCCCGGCGCTCAGTGCCCTCCTCTTTTTCCCCTCCGCTACGGCTGGTGCACTGTCCCTTGGCATCCTCACATCCAAAGCAGGTCAATGGAGCCTGCATTGTACATAATGATAAGGAGAAGAGACTGCTGGGACCAGTCTAGCAGTCTGGAGGGAGGCGGCAGGGCCGAGGATCAGTTAAGTAAATCTGCTCCAGCTCCCAGACAAAAGCACCCACATAAAGGGTGATTCCATTTTCCCCCCGGTGAATTTGGGAAAATTAAATGATCCCCCGCAATAATAATAATTATTAGACAGGATTTATATAGCGCCAACAGTTTGCACAGCGCTTTACAATATAAGGAAGACATTACAATCACAATACAATTCAAGACAAGATGGTGAGGAGGGCTTACAATATAAAAGGGAGGGGCAAGTGGTACATGAGGAGGTAGCTGTGTGGCTGAGTTGTTTGAGAAAGGGATAGTGCAGTGGGTAGTTTGAGCAATCTGCACCATCTCTTCCCTCCTGCTGCTCATACCTTTGAATGAAAGCTGCTTCCCCTCCACGGCTTCCTGTGTACAGTCCGTACACATTATCACAGCCATGCGCTAGGTATTACATATTACACTCGCAAATGGCAAGCATTCTTTGGTCAGTATGGTCACCCTTTTCTTATATACTGGATTGGAAGGGGGGAAGGGGGGATCACGGTGGAATGCAAAGGTATTCTTACTTTTTTCAATATGACAAATCTGGATTTTCATTAGTTTAGATTAGGAGAATGATTACACCATGTCAATTTTATGTGTCATTTATTTGAGTATATCACCTTTACCTGTAGGCACTGTTTGAATAAAGATCTACAGGGTTATTCACGAAAGGGTGAAGGGTTTGGAGAAGGCAGGAGAAGTGAACAATCTAGGACAACATATCTGATTTGGAAACATTCTGCAATTCAGCTCACTTTCCAGTTCAACTTTGTTGTCCTAGATTGTTCACTTCTCCTGCATTCTCCAAACTCTTCACCCTTTTGTGAATAGACCTGCTAAAGTTTGCCTGTTCAAATATGTTAAAATTGTCAATGATTTCAATGGGGTGTCCTCACTTTTTCAAATGTATGTAGTAAGAGGAGCACTACAGTAACAATATAGAGAGTGCTCATGAACGAATTTAAAACAGTTCAAAACAAGGAACATGCCAAATCCGCCAGTGTTTGTTGGCCAAATAAACCAGCATCACCAGATACAATTGGAATCCAGAGCAGGAACGGCCTGGGCCCTGTGTGTGTGTGTATGTATGTATGTATATATATATATATATATATATATATATATATGACAGTTGTTCATTTATGACTACTTAGGTGTTGCTAGCTACTGTACAAAATGTCTGAAGTGAATCCCAACTCTCAAGAAGACACATTACACCATGAAGCTGTTGGCCAAGATGTCGCTATGGAAGTCAGTGAATCGGATGCTGCTGACAATAATGAAGAGCACACAACGCTTCCAGCCAGCTATACTTCCCAAGAAGACCTCCCTGAGACTACAAGTGGAGATGGGATGGAACAAGTAACTGACCATGAAACACACATTAACAGCCCCCCCAGTCCGACTGATGAAGAATTACATATCAATGTAAGAGGATGGGGGCAGTCACCTTCTTGCTGCATTTTTTTGTGCATAGCAAATGTTATCAAATGAATGTCATTATTTTATTTTTTTAAGGGCTCATTCACAATAGGTTTATTATCTTGCATTCTGCTAGTGTTTGGTTAAATTCCTGCATGCGGTATTTTGGTGCAGTTACCTGTAATATTCTACAATATAAATATGCCCCACACTCAATTTTTGCAGTTGGCAAACTAACGTTAGTATGTTTCCAAAAATAAATGGAAGGGAATGTGTAGTGGTTGGTACATACCGTAGTTTCATTCTTATGGTCAGAACGCAATAATTCCATCGTAAGGACTTGTGTAAATGAGTGTCGTTCTCAAGAGCTACCTTTTGCATTTGAGCGCGGGACTGATCAAACGTAACAATAGGCTGTATTTTGGCTGCTCTGCCTGCAATGCATCACAAAAAGACATCTGTGTCTAAAGAAATGCAATGTAAAGCAGGTGAAATGCAGCCTCATAATTATCATTTTCGTTACAGCATGAAAGTAAATAGGAATTTTCTGACCTCTGTTTTAAACACCCTCCAAACTCAAGAAAAGAACACTTTAAAAAATATTTATATTTTTGTAGCGCTCACCCCTGATGGAGCCTCCGGATAGATTGGTCCCTCCTAGCCTGTCTAGGGTTTACTGTTGCATTGCTGTCCCAAAGCACTTACCGACCCTCCAGTGGCGACCGATAAAACTGATGTCCACACAGAAGATATGATGCTGATGAGCGTTTATTGAAGAACTGGGGAAGAGACTGTTAGGGCACAGGACACCCAGAATGCAGTGTACTTCAAAAAAATGATAGGACAAAGTACTTGCAGCCTTCATAGATTGAGCTCCTGGCTGTGTAGTACATGATGCTACTAGTCCATTTCAGAAAATAGGCTTTGTGTGCTGCAATAGAGTGGGGTGAAAAAAAGGTTGCAGGTGGCGTGGCTATCAGCATTGTCACTGCTGATTCAAATTGCCTGTAGCTTGTCAATCAGTACCTGGCCACACCTAGTCCTGCCCACTGCTTTCAGGATTGGCAGAACTGACTGCACTGCTGAGACCCTCCTACTGTGAGCTGCAGTGTCTTGCAGGGGAGTATATGATGCAAATGGAGGTTGGGGAAGGTGAAGGAAGTTTAAAGCCTTAATATAAGGCTTGTGAATCACATAGTACTGGATTTCATACTTGTTTCGACTGTCATACTTTAAATTCGCATGCATTACAATTTTCCCGAAATGCATGCATTTAGTATGACCAAGATCTAAATTTTTTAAAGACAGTTTTGTTATAACATATTGAACCTGATGACATTTCTTTGGAACTAGGAATTAAATAGTGCAAGAGACAGCATGCCAGACAATCTCTATGAGCCAGATACAGAAGACCAGGTGCTTGATGAAAAAAGTTTGCAATTAAACCTTGATATTGAGGAAAAGCAGCTTGATCCTACTGAGGTATCGCTTCTCAGCCTTTTGGATCAAGTGTAGTATCTGTTCTTATCAGTTGTCGGGAACAGAACGGCCGTTGTCGCCTTTGGAATGTGGGTGATGGCGGCTTAGTTATTCCTGGCGTAATTGGTAGGGTGCTGGATGAGGTTCCAGGCCATCGGAGCTTTCGACCCTAGTCAATGGGTGGGCTCCGGCGGAGGGATCTCTGAAGGCGCACCGCCTCCTGATGGGAATGGGTGCGAAGCTTGGTCTGGCTGGAGGGTTGGGGGGGCGGCAGAGCCCGTGGTGTTGTGCATCCCTGGGGGTGGCGTCCCAGGGCTCCTCAGAGAATCACTTGTGTGTGGGACCCCACATTGACTCACTGATGCACATAGACACGGCACTATTGCAATACTTTGCACATCGCCTCTTGGACAGGCCTTATGGCTAGTCCGGGGCAATATTTTTGCACTCCGGCCCCTAAGACCTGTCAGCGTGGTGCACTGGCAATTTAGCTTTATTTATAGCACTTTATGCACGATACACGATTGGCCTTTTTTTGGCATTGACCCACAGATGCAGCGGGTGCAGGTTCCTTCGGGGCCTTTTCCCGATGTGGGGAGGAGATTCTGTGCCCTAATATAGGGTTCTCTGTCTCCTCCCAACCAGGGGGTCTCTCTTGGGGAGAGCCCCCTACCCAGTATTGTGAGGGACCTGTTCCAGCAGGTCCCCAGAGGATCGGGGTCCACCGGCCTCCGGGTTGGTGGACCTACAGTCTCAACACCTGTTAGGAGCCTTGCGCCCGGGGGGTCGGGAATCGAGGTCCCTTCTTTATTGAAGGACCAAGCACCCTTGTGCACGTTTTTGTGTGCTGTGATTTCACGGTTCACTTTTTTTGTTCACAGGGGATAGTTTTTTTATGCACGTTCCACGGGCTCTTAAAACAAACTAAAAAAAACTGGGATGGTTATTGTAGTAATATTATGTTATTATTTTGATATTTTGTAGCAAAGTAATATTGCCCTAAAGCAGAACTTCAGCCAGGCAACAAAATTACAATTACAATTCTCAGGCTCCCTGTACCTGTTGAAGCACATGGCTTCTCTTCCTAGGCAGCAGACCTAGAAAGATCAGACAATCCACAGCATCTCTCCCCCGGAAGGGGGGGGGAGACATTCAAACTTAAAACGCATGTCAATAATCCTAATTGCCTAAAGATCTACAATGTGATCCTTGCTCCCCTACCAAACAGCATTAAAGGAGAACTATGGGGTCAGGGCTTTTCCCCATAGTTCTCCTTAGGGTAACGGGAGGAACACAAAAAACTCAATGCAGCTAATGTTAGTTGCGCTGGTGTGTTACATTGCCATTCATTCTGA